ATAAGTAAAATGAAGTTATTGTCAGTACCAACCTGTAAACTTGATGAAGACGTGGTGTTTTGATAAAAAGATAAGGGAGATAATTCCAATGTTAGTAGGATATTTTATCTCATTAAAACCACCTGTTGAGTTTATAGTCAAGTTAAATACCTGTATTTCATTCAAATCAGTTTTCAAAATCAGTATTATAAGGCCTACTATAATCATATATATACATGTATTTCATTCAAATCAGTTTTTAAAATCAGTATTATAAGGCCTACTATAATCATATATATACATGTATTTCATTCAAATCAGATTTTAAGATCAGTATTATCTGGCCTACTATAATCATATATATACATGTATTTCATTCAAATCAGATTTTAAGATCAGTATTATAAGGCCTACTATAATCATATATATACATGTATTTCATTCAAATCAGATTTTAAAATCAGTATTATAGGGCCTACTATAATCATATATATACATGTATTTCATTCAAATCAGTAGTATCTGGCCTACTATAATCATATACCAGTGAATACCTGCATTTCATTTAAATTAGTTTCTAAAATCGGTACTATCTGTTATACTATAATCATATAAATAGCTTTAAGATACTGACCTAAGATCATTAGTATTGTCAGCAAATATAAAATTGAAGACTTCTTTCACTACAAAATATGAGATCTCCAGAAAACAATTCAAATACGACAGATAATTATTAAAATGATTTTTTTTATCATTTTTACTACATGCTGAATCTTACCGAAATGTTATTAGAATTACATTCTTCCTACACACTTTCTGACATGTTCCAATCTATTATTGGACTGGAATCATTCTTCATGCAAATCAAAGCAATTCTGAACTTTCATGCCATGATCTCACGTTCTTTGATTAGTAGTTTCTGTCTAGTTAGCTTCAGAAAGAATTAATTTTATGAGAAACTGAGGTAAAATGAGACTTTTATACAAATTATAAGTCTACATGAAAACCATTGGAAAGAATTTTACAGACATTCTAACATGATATTACATTGGTAATAACATTCTATCATCCATTAAAACTCTTACAATAATGTACTGTGATCAGGGATAATGATTTCACTATCTGCCAGTCAGATCTTCCAGAATGTCTGGCTGGGTCTGGTATATGAATGATTGAAAGAAGCTATAGATGTTGTCAATTTCTGATTGCAATTGAAGTTATACTAGTCTCATTTTTAAGAAACTGAAAGTTTGTTCATAATGCAGATGTCTTATAAGATGGCAACGTTATATAAATGAATAGCCCATGTGACGTCACTGAACACCCAATCAACAGCAAAAAACTACTGTATCTCAGAAATGTGTGATGATATACCTGAAAGTATCATTAAATAGCTTAATCAACTTTGATTAA